TTCACTTTTTATTAAATAATTTTATATGAGGGGGAAAAAAAAAGTTAAACTTTCTGGGAGGTAATCCAAAACAATTTTTTGAAAGACTAGTTTCTCAGTGCAGTCTTTTTCATATTTTTCTAAAGTTTTCTACATGATGACTACACTTTAATTTAGATAAGTGATTTTATTTACATGTTGTTGGGGCTTTTTATTAAAGCACTGCATGGATGGCTTGTATCTCTCACTGGTTCTCAAAAGCAAATGCAAAAACAAATAGAACAGGTACAGAATTATATATTATTATGTTTATTTTTCTCTCACTGTTCCTCAAAGAAAATTTGTATTTCAAGATTACGTCTTTTTAGAAGCTTATAATGCAAACTTCTGGTACACCAAACACATAACCCCATTTCAAGATTAAAACAAATGTTGACCTATCAGAACTTCAGGAGTATCAAACATTTAAATTTACAGCCAGATTGCATTGAAAAGATCCACAGCACAAGAACAGACAGTGGATTGCAAATATGTGAGAGCATGTAAAGAGATATAGCAAACCAAAGGTTAAAATGCTAACAGAATACTATTTTAAGTGATACACTAAGCAAATCTGAACAAACCTAATAAAAGAGATGCAGTGCAAAGCATGAAATTGGGCTTGAACACAGAAGGATCAGGGCTTTTGTGCTTCACATCATTAAAAACTCCAGCAAACCTTGTTAGGGCTCTCTATAGTTCTGGATAATTTAGAAGAATGTTTCTGTTCATAATTCAGAACTTCTGAGACCCTCCTGATTAATAATACATAAAAACTAATGAATTTCAGTATTTTTGTTTTGTCATGCCAGTACAATAACACTGCCTTATGTACCCAAGAACTGAATTTCAATTCTTACCTTTTTCATACAAATATTGCTGGATTTTAAGGACATAGCCAGCAAAACACATTTATAATTGCTTTAGTTTTGATAAGTTTAACCACTGAAATGGAAATATTTTAAGCTGATTGTCTACCTTCAGTCAAACAGTCTGAAAAGTTTCAGATATACATTTGCTCAGAATAAGGCTATCAACTAGGGTACAGAGGACAGAGGAGGGAAAGACACACCAGAAGAACATGGTGGTGGAAAAAAATAAGCAGAAATACAATGAAAAATGGCAGTAGAAGGGTCAGCAAGGACGACTGGTGGAAGATGTGGGGTGGCAAGGGAAAAAAAAGGGAAAAAAATAGGAGGTTGGAGAAAGATATTAAGACTGGAAGAGTTATTAGTTAAGTTCTGTGTTGTGAAGACTCATGTGGGTAAAGGATAAAGAAGGAGAGCAGCTTAAGCACATGCACAGATTGCAAAGGCAGCCTTTGTTTTTAAAAGTAAACATAGTTTCTGTGTGCTCACAACTGGAAGTGTTCAGCATTTCTTCTGCCATAAACTGCATGCAGACTGGAGTCAGGACCTCTGTGGAAGGTGTTAATTGAAAATTAACTCTTTTGACTGCACAACTCTCAGCCAGGCTCTTATCACTTGGATTGTGGCCCTGTGTTTTAATAGTTCTGTCATTCTGTGGAGAAGCAGACCCTGCAAGGATGGGGTTTTTTCAGTAGTAAATGACCAGTGTTTATGCCTGGCCACACCACACGCAGAAGTTTGCTGACAGAAGATTTGTATGAGCTGAAATTTTATCCCTTTTTCTTCCTCAACAGCCATTAAGTCACCATCACTCCCTGAGCCCTCAAATCTTTTCACAGCAGGATAAACACAGCCTAAGAATACTGGCATTTGCTTCCTTCATTCATGACATATCTCTACTAAAACTGGAAAATGGCTTCATATTCCTGTAGTGTTCCTGTATTTTCCCATAGTGTTCCTACAGAATCCTCTAGTCTGCCTCCCCACAAACCAGGGAATGTTTCCTTAGCAAAGATGAGATTGGAGCATTAGGTTCCTGTCTTCATTGATCTGCAAAAGGCAGTATGACAAAAAAACCTAACCATACTGCAAATAGCAAATATGTTATCAGTCAAGTGACAATATTTAGAGTCTAGCAATGCCACTGAGCTGCAACTACCAAAAAAATCTGGAAAAATACACATTTCTCTTTCATGCTGGTTTTAGTCTTCTAGCATACTGACAGTGTTTCTTTTAATCAGTTAACTTGATCACAAACTAAGCAGGCCCTCCAGGCAGAATTAGCTAACATGCAATGCCACATAACTGTGAAAGCCAAGTGAAATGCACTGTCATCTGTGCACCCTCTGACTCCAATCTTTCAACACCCACCACTCCACTATGAGCAGCCAAACCACAAGCTGTTCCATACAAGCACCTCACCTTGGCTACCAGTTTAGTCACAACCAGATCTCGGCAGAGATTACCAGGCTTCCTGTTTTCTAACTATGTCTATGTAGTGTGCCATTTCAAGTCCAAGCCTTCGTAACACTGCTTGGCCTCAGCCTATGCAGCATTGTTTTTCTCTGTCATTCCTGAAAAATCTGGGCATTCAGCCCTACAAGCAGCCCAGCTGGCCACTGTTTGGTAGCAGTTAAACAGGGAAGAAAACAGCACTGTTAACTTGAGTGCAGACTTTTGTTTGTTCAATTATTGACTGAACAGGCTGGTACAAATTTTAATAAAGATTGAAGCGATTAAAGTGTAAGAAAATTGGTATTTGCAATGACAAGATCAAATGGTTTAATATGGGTTGCAATAATAAATTAACAAAATTAGCAGCTAACCTTATCAAAGTGCAGTTTCTCATCTAACTATAAGAATATTGGCATTTTTCCACACTGACCTCAAATTAAAGTTTAAAGGAGTGAATTTGCATAATACATTACACAGCACATACACAGAGTTACTAACAGCTTGTTGAAACCGTGGTGTTTTCTCACTTCGGCAGAAGCAGAACAGCAGCTGCTTGCATACTAAACGCTCTGCTTGGTGCTCTGTCCCTGCAACTGCATGCAGGGAACTGATTTAGCTTCCTCTGAAAGGCAGAGGTTGAGGTGACCTATTGACTAATTCTGTTCATTTCAAGGTATACTTGTTTCAGTAAGTGTGTATAAGCAGTGACATTTGTGCAGTTGATCTATTAAATGATAACACTACTGTAACATTCATCTCATTTTATGTTATTACTGAGATGCAATAGACCACTGTGCTGGTTTTGGCTGGAATAGAGTTAATTTTCCTCACAGTTGCTAGCATGGGGCTGTGTTTTGGATCTGTGCTGGAAAAAGTGTCGATAAAGCAGGGATGTTTTAGTTATTGTTGCACAGGGCTTGCTCTGAGCCGAGGCCTTTCCTGCCTCTCACCCCACCCCAACAGTGATCAGGCTGGGGCTGCACAGGAATTTAGGAGGGAACACTAAAGGATTTCAACAGGATTTAGACAGGAAAGGTAACCCAAATGGACTAAAGGGATACCTTATACCATATGGCGTGAGTATTTAAAGCTGAGGAAGAAGGAATGGGAAGATATGCAGAGTGATAACAACTGTCTTCTTAAGTCACAGTTAAGTGTGATGGAGCCCAGATTTCCTCAGGATGGCTGGACACCTGCTTTCCCATGGGAAGGGGTGAAAGAATTCCTTCTTTTGCTTTGCTTGCATGTGTGGCTTTTGCTTTACCTGTTAAATTATCTGCATCTCAATTCATGACATTTGCTTTTTTTCCCCTAATTTTCTCCCTCATCCCTCTGGTGGCAGGTGTGAGTGAGCAGCTGTGTTGTTCTTAGCTGGCGGATGGGATCAAAAAAAACCAACTGTATTCTGCAACATGAAATACAGAAATCTTCATTGGTTCAAAACATGTAATGTGTTGTTTTTCTGCTTTCCTGAGTACATTTTTAGCATCACGTTGTCTTCATTTTCCTTGAACACTGCTGTCAATTCTTTCTTTCCTCCCAAAATTTGCCCTTTTTTGACATGGTGCTCAGTGTTGTGAGCAGGGCTGTGCTGGAGACAGAGTGTCTGTAAGGGCAGTACCCATGGCTCCTCACTTGCCATCACGGGGGGACCTGATACTTCAGAGCCATGTTAAGAATTAAAGAAATGAAAGAGGAAAGCACTTTGGATTGCAAGTTTCTGCACAGTGTCAATGCAGTGCTACAAGGAATATAAAGTAAGAAAGAGCTTAAAGATATGATCATTCATACCATCTTTTTCACAGGGATCCCTGATGTATTCACAGCACAAAATGGATGGTATTTATTCAAAAAAATTTTTTTCCTTCATTTTTTTCATGTAGTTATAACATTATTCAAGTGCTTTTCTGAAGACAGAATTGCTAATTTCCCTTTAGGCTCCTTTAGAGCAATCAGCACTAAATACCTACATTTCAGAGAGAGTAGATTTATTTATTTTCATGAGGTCTTTGTACAGTGAAAGCCTGGTTAACTTTGTTTATCAGACAAGCCAATACTTCAACTACACTGGTGTTTAGGTAGCCCAGCTTGGTGCTGCAATCCCCCTGTCACTCACATACACATGGCCCATGGCCACCCATTCCTGCCTTCTGGCTACTTCTCGTTTTGGTTAAAGTATTCACACAGGGGTTGCTCCTTATCACATGCAGGTAGCTGTGAAGAATCTGAGTGTAGCAGATCTAAGGCTTTCCCAGCAAGGATCTGAAAACAAACTACAATAACCTACTGAAAATATGCTTTCTTCTGGCAGAAAAACCTACACCTCCAGAACACAATGCCAGAACCATTGCTGTTGGACAGGCTTCTTGTGGGTATGATAAAGCAAATTTCTCACAGCTGCAACATTAAGTAAAGTTGCTTTGTGGCTAGAAGCACTTAAAATTTACTTCCTACTAACCAGTAGGGTATGAAGTAATCCATGAAGCAGTTTTTAATGTTTATCAAAATAGCAAAATAAATGGCCATTTGCAGGCAGGCCTGACAGATCCTGACACTTTGTCATCCTGGCTAAGATTTAACTTTTGAGAGTTTTCTAATTCAAGACTAGAAAAGAACAAACCAGGAAATCTGAGTTTGTGGTAAGAATTTATTCTTCATTTGTGAGAAAGCAGCTTCACACTCTTTCATACCATTAAGCCACGGCTACATCCTGCAGTATTCCCTGAGAAGAGGTCAGATTCCAATTATCTTTAGGGACTTGGAGGTGTCTTATCCTATTACTGCATTTATTTACATCCGGGGAGCGCAGAGTGCTGAAATATTCCCATATATATAACCCAGTCAACATTTCTCTCTTTGGGTTTTTCCACAAAACATCTCACAGAGCCACAAGACATCTCCAGCTTAAACCATGCTAGCACATGTTAAACCATGTTAGCACACCCCTGGGTAATTGAAGGCTAAAGAGCTTTTAAATTACTGCTTCTTTTCCTAAAAGGAGATATTTTTAAAAGCCTTGATGTGATAAGTGTTGAGTTCTCCTGCATTAGAAACAGTTCCTTAAAAGCCTCCATGTATTGAACTTTACACATGGGAAATTTTCATTTAAAAACTACAGATAAGATAGTCACTGTAACATAATTTCCCACTGTATTGGGTGGTTAGCAAGTGTTCATGTATCATGTGGCCTTCAAAACTGAGGAGGGACGTTGCTTCACCGTGATGAGATTATTCTGAATTCTTCAGGGCTCTTCCTGCCGCTCCTCACCTGGCACTGCTCACAAATGTAATAGTTTTGCTTTCACTTCCATCATCTATATAAAAATGAAAATATTAATTAGTACATCACCCAGGACATTCCCTGGCAGAATCTTACTCAGTAAATCCTTTCATCTGGACTATGAAATATTAGTAATTTTTGCAAGCTTCCGACCAATCAGGAAATCCCATCCTTCAAGCAAAGGACTGTCAACCATTTGACCATGTTGACATTCTGCAACTCATTATACAATACAACTTCCACCATTATAGCAGTTATAAAGAAGTTCCAGATGTTAGGGATCAGGGAAGTTACATCTGACTGATGTACAAAGACAAAAGCAGACAGAAGTGGTTGTAGTATATTCTCTTCAGCCAGGCTGCCTTCCCAAGGTGGAATTTGATACTGTGGAGTAGCATTCCTCTGTTACAAACTGGTGACTAATCTGCCAGTCTGTCTGGAAAAGTAGGTGGCACTGATCTGCAGCAAAAGCACTGAACAGCTTGTGGCTTTTCCATATTCATCTACCTTAAATTCATGCTTTCTTAAAAGCACATCTGCCAGAATGCTGAGTAACTCATACTAGTGCTTACTGTAGCAGCAATTCCCAAAGCTAACTCTCAAGGTAGCAACATCACTCTTGGCAAAGGGGAGCTGCAGCTCCTGGGTGTGCTCAGGATCATCTGGGAAGATGGATGTCCATCCACTTCTCCCTGTACAATGTTTCTTCCCCAAACTGACGTAATAATAATAATCAGCATGTATCAGTAAGTATATTCCCACAGAGATTTATTTTCATAGGTATTTACTGCCACAGATGAGAACAGTGGCACTAAGATTCTAGTTTTTATTTTAAATTATATCAAAAAATACTGAATAGTTTGTTCAGCTAAAGGGTGGAGACTACACAGGTAGCCAAGCTAAGCTAAACCTGTCAAAAGAAATTAAAACAGATTCTCCCACTCACTCCATTCTTACAATGAAAAAGAAGAAACACAGGAGGGGGAGAGAGAAGAGTATACAAGAACAGGTATGAAGTTTATGTGCTCTGAAGATTTGCAGGGTCAGTGGCTTCAGAGCAGCATGTATAGTGTGGCTGCCTGAAACTGATGAAAAAATGGAAGTCAACAAAAAAGATAATATTATTTCTGAGTTTGTTACTATTATTAAATCATAGGAAATAATGAGAAAAACTTAGGGGTGTAAAGTAGGTATGACTCAAAAAATCTATTTTGCCTGAGTTTAAGACACATAATAAGTTTTAATGCATAAACAAAAGAACAAATAAATTATCTAGGGTTTTGGTTTTAGGTTTTCCCCCTAGGAAGAAGGAGATTTTTTTATTCCAGAATTCTGAAAGAGTTGGAAAATAAAACCACATATCAAGCAGTGAGAATTTACAGTGGATCTTTCATCCAGAGAAAGGTACCATCAATCTGGAAACCAGAACATGGCTCAACAGAATATTAATATAGGTTCAAAAATAAGCATTACAAGGGGGAGTTAGTTGGGAAAGTATCTCATTTGATCAAGAGTTAAGACTCTGTAACAGGTAGGACTGAAATCAGTCTTTACTGAAAAAAAACAGTGTGAGAATGGCAGGTTGTCTCATCAAGCATTTTTCACAGAAACACACAGTCAGTATTCTGGGCAAGGAAAATGCTCCATACTTCTTATATTTGGAATTCAGTGTAATTTGATGCAATGGCATGTAGGAAGTTAATATTTCAAAAGAAAAAGGTGGAAATTTATACAAGAATAAAGGGATGCAGGTTTGCCTGTAGGGAGGTTAACAAAACCAAAAATCGTGCCTTGGGGCGTGTTTTAGTGGACTCCTCAAAAATGTTAAAAGTCAACCTAGGGTCAATATCTTTGTTGATGAGGGCAGCACAATATGCTGTTGTGTGCTTCTGAAGCAAGGTTCAGAGATATTCTTGTAAAAAAGGGGGATCAGATTGAGTCCAAAACCTAGGATAAAGTACAAGAGTCTTTTGTTGCTGTAAAACTACCTACAGAATTCCAAATTCTCTTGAAGCTATTGCTAACACATCAAGAATTTTCATAGGTCTAATCCCCTAGGGGGATAAGGGAGGAGTGACAGGATTGTGAGAAGTACTAAGAAAGTGTATTTCAGAACACTCTTGATAGATTAAAAAAAAAAAAAAAAAAAAAAAAAAAAGACAAAATCCTAAACCAGAAAATGTATGCATTACTGTTCACTTTTAAAAACAAAGATTAGACACATGACTTTTCTTCAGATTTTAGTGCAAACCCAAGATTAGTCCTTTTGGGACAAGAAATGATCATGCCTGAAACATAAATCAATTTACATTTCTTCACATCCACCACTGGAGATATGTGTATACCTCAGGCTAGAATGACAGAATGATCAGCAACGTGACTCTGCAACTCTGATCTGGTTAAGTATTTGAATTCATGTAAAATTAGGAGCTCTGCTGTTTGCTGCCCTCCCTGTCACTGCAAAATGTACTTTTTTAGGATTTAAACACACTCTTAATTACTTCTGTGTATGAGGAAGCACACAAAAAGGCCTTTTTTAAAGGCAATTTCAAAAAGGCTCTAAAAAAGGTATTAGGAAAGGAAGTTATGATGTTACAGTCTTCATTTGTATGATGTCCTTTGCAAATATTGACTTCTGCAATTCAATTACAAATTACATTTACACATACACACACACACATTCCTGGGGTGAAAAGGTCCAGAGTAGATCTCTTATTATGGCTTAGACTACAGGAACGTTCTAGCAAATGCAAAATAAAATTTAGAAAAAGTAACATTTTATTATAGTTGGCCCAGCACACAATGTTACATGGAATTCATTAACATACATGTTTATAATTCTGCTGTGCTTCTTCTCTCATGCTGAAGATTCTTTGTGAATTATTGTGGTTTAAAACTAAAATTCTTTAAGTTACCTAAGAATAAAGATACAAGGAAACACATATTGATAACTCCAGAAGTTTACAATTCCCCAGGAAAACAAGTTATGAAAATGTCTGTTGAGCCTGAAGCATCATGGTTTCAGTTACCTTTCAGCAAGTCCAAGGAGTATTCTAAGAGAACCTGCAAGAAATTCTTTCAGACTACTTGAAACTGGAGATGCAGGGAACTTGTAGGGCACCCGACAGAGCAGCAGTCTGTAGAGAGTGGATGGCAGCAAAAGGGAGGTTGATACTCTCTGCTTTGGTTTGTTGGTGGTTATTATGGTTACTGTTATTGTTGTTATTACTATTATTACAGATGGTAAACCAAGTACAGTCAAAAGTTCTTGCAGTTCACTGGAAATCAAAGGAAAATATCTTAAATTCATTTTGTTGTGTGGAAACACAGAAGCAGTAACCACCAAACAACCTGAAAGTCTTATTGCCATACTTGCCATCTTTGGTTCAGTCTGTGACTGATCACTTCAGTTATACTTTCAATGAGGTTGATTTGAGTGCATTACACTAAAATCACATGAAGATCAAGAGAAACACCACTGTCATGTGCTACTATATTCAGTTACCCAACATAAAAATGCAAAACAGTGTGTAAAACATATGAGAATAATTAGGTATTTAATAAATTAGATAAAAATTCAAAGGTATTTTACAGTTGCAGTTAGACCACGCTATGAGAATATATTCTGGTAGGCAGGTGAGAAATGCCTCCAAGCATAAATAATCACTCTTTAATGGAAGGAAGGAAATTGGTCTCTGATGCTGTCTTACTTTTTGAAAAACAACCAGCAAATTCAAAGTATTCTTCATTGCTAATACTAAATTTATATGAACAAGAGGTATAGTGCTTTTCTGCTGTGGTCTCTCTTACAGAGGAACTGCCTTACTGCTCTACAACTTTTGTCTGTTTGAATCTCCTTTCTCTATTTTTTTTCCTTCATTCCTCCTTCACCTCACAGCTTAGATATCCTTTAAATGGAATTTCAGATTTCCTTTAATTCATACAGAAGAATTTGTGCTGTGTAGATAATTACTTTCAGACTCATGACAGGGGTTTTAGTCCTGTGAGCCTCTGTTCACACGATTTCATTCCTTGATCTGTCATGCTATCAATATTTTCCATTGCTAAGCCCTTTAGACAACAGGCATATCATACTTTTTAGTATGTCAGCTGTATTTAAAACAAAAATACACTAACACTAATACAAAACTACCAAGCAGACCATACTTTATAACTTGTACTCTGACAATATAGTAATTTCTGCTATTACAGTTTGCATGTATAACATAACAGCTCAGTGAACTCTGAAAACTGAAAGGAATAAACATGAAATGGCTGCACAGTCATGTCCTAAGAAATAATAAAACACTGCCTTAGACAGGCATTCAGAAACAAGCTCAAACAAGGTAAGGAAAGTATCTACCACTTAACTTGCATCCACAGTATTTTACAGTATGCATTTTAATTACTACAAAATAGAAAAATTCTCCCGCAATTTCTGAGCATACCTGAAAGGTCATCTATGAGAGAACACTAGGTAAAATGTCAAACATGAAGAAAGGAGATATTCTTCTCCTTCTCACTTTGTTCTCTGCCACAGCAAACATCCTGTATTTGATCCACAATTTGTAAAGCTCCTTTGACATCTTGGTTGTGAATACTAGCTGTGAACATCACAGCTGCACTCAAGACACAAATTAACACCCTCAAGATCAGGCAGGTGTGGGGAAAACTCATACAGTGTCATTATTTACCTGCAGAGTAGTCCTAAAAAAATATATATATATTCTGCAGATAATGTGTGTAAGCAAGTAATTTTCATTTCTTTTTCAATCTAACATTTCAAATGTTACTTGCTATGTTACACTTGAGCCTAAAACTGCCTCATTCAATAAAGGATTTTTCAGTCACTCTGGCCATGCTTTGAACAAGGTCCCCAGGCTGAACAGCTGCAGAACTTAATCCAGCTTCTCAGTAATGAATTCATTCACCTCATTCATACGCAAGTCATGCTTAAGTACCACAACTTTAAAGTAAGACCAAAACCAATCTCTTTAAATCAAGTGAATGTACAGTAGACTTGAACTGAAGAAGCTGGCACAGAATTCACAAAGGATTTGCTGTGTTAGTGAATAAGCTGTGCACATTGCAGTTAGAAAAAATTTCTTTCAGTGTTGCCATCTAATTCTCCTTCTCAATTACAAAATTATATTAGTCATTGCTGTCCCCTGGGAAGATAAATGAGCAGCTGATATCCAGCATCACCCTTTAAGATGGGGCCCTTTGAGGAGGCTCATGGGGAGGCAGCTGAGCAGTGGAGCAGAGAGCACTGGAGAATTGATTGATGCTGTGGACATCCCTGGTGGGCCAGAAACCATGGGAACTTCACACAGCAATCTGAGGGACCAAGGAAAAAGGGATGGTGTGTTTTGTTTAAAGGCAGTCATTTTTGTTTAAGGCAATCTTTACAGACTGCACCTGTAAAGATTGTAGTGAAGCAATATTGATAAGACACATGAACAATGTGGTTCTTGCTTGGCAGTGGAGAATTCTGTTCAAAGCAGTAAGACTCTCTAAACTGAGATCTGTAGTCAATAAATGGACTTCAGCATTGGCATTCCCTGGAGTCCCATATCTCAATCGCTGACGTTGGTGGCCCATGTTAGGACAGAGGATCTGCCTAGCTGGGCAGCTGTCAGTGACCCCACAGAACTCGAAGTGATGCTGTGAGGAAGCAGAAAACTGGCTGGTGATGATTATTTGCTCTGCGAAAAGGAGGAGAGCTGCAGGGAACATGGGCCAGGGAATGTCTGGCCAAGAAAGAGACGGTTTTGGACTTATGACTAAGCTGCTAGAAAAGCATGACAAATCTTTGCCTTCATGTAACCTAAACATCATGCTAATATTGACAGTGTCTAAGCTGCCAGGAGTTCCCCAGTTCGCAATTTTTATGAAAGATTTGTGGGACGATGTGGCCATTAAACTGCAGCATTGTGCAAAGAAAGGAGATAAAGCAGCTGCAGTAATGCTTCTTCCCTCTTGGAGGCTGATTTTTGAGGTCCTAAAGGCCTAAGAAAAATTCCATGCTAAAGATAAAGATGCCTCTTGCCCTCCCCCTGCAGCAGAGCCTCGGAGTCCTTTACAATTTGAAGAGACTGCATCTTTCTCTGTACAGCCCTCGACCCCCCCTTCTTACGAGTGAAAGGGAGAGGGGCCCCTCATGATCCCTAGGGGTGTTCACTGCTGGCCACTGACCAGATGACAGCCAGGATGATGAAGGGGAACCTTTGGACCCTGGACCTGTCAGAAAAAAAGAACCAGATCTTTATTCCGCAATGCCAGTGATAATTTTTACCTGAAACAACAAGCATTAAGGGAGGGGGGATTGGACATTGCTGAAAGAATTGTTGCACCTGCAATTTACTCAGGTCAGCAAAATCGAACTACCCAATGGGAGCCACTGTCCTTTTCAGTAATTAAAGATCTCCAGCAGACAGTGACAGAGCATGGTATCAGCTTCCCATATTTTGCAAGCTTGCTGTCTTCTGTATTTGCTGCTCACATTATGATGCCACATGATTTAAAGTCGCTTGCTCAGTTACTCAGTTAACTCCCACTCAATATGCTCTATGAGAAGTGGCAAAAAGGACTACAAGCTCTCCTCCTAACTTATGTGGGTCATGCTAATCACACCCTAGACACTCAGACACTTAATTATCTCATGGGAATGGGGTCCCACACAGATCCTGCTACCCAAGCCTGAGACTGCCCGAGGGAAGCCCTTGATTCTGTCTGTGAAGCAGCATGGCTAGCCTCTCTTAAGGTCCCTGATGCACAACAGCTACAAAAAAACATTTACAGTTATCATCCAGCAGCCCTGCAAACCATACATGCTAATTATTGACCTCCTTAAGCAAGCACTTGAACGTCAAATTGATCACCCTCAAGCTTGCAAAATTTTGCTTTTAAAACTTGCTGTTGAAAATGCAAATGGAGACTGTAAGAAACTCCTTAAGTCTTTGCCTAACCAGGCCCCAACTTTAATTGAAATGACTGAAGTGTGTAACTGCATTGGTACAGCAGAACATAAATAGGAGACTATGGCTGCAGTTTTTGCAGCCCTTAAGGGTCTCTCGGGAACTTTGGGAGTTTGTTTTGGCTGTGGCAAACCCAGCCACCTTAAAAAAGACTGCTTTGATCAGAAAGGAGCTAAGTCTAAAGTCCCTGATGTGTGCCCACAGTACCGTAAAGGTTGTCATTTTGCTAACCTGAAATTGACCTGGAAGTCTTATAAACCTGTCCGGGTGGATCAATGGCCCCTGTCACTGCCTAAATTGTGCATACTCACTGAACTTGTCAACTTAAGTATATTCACTCCTCCATAGACACCTTTTCAGGTGCTTATTTTCATCCTGTCTTATAGGAGAGTCAGCAAAAGATTTTTGGTGTCACTTTGCAAATTCCTTTGCAGTCCTAGGAATTCCCTCACAAATCAAAACTGATAATGACCCGTGTATACTTCCCAAAGAGTTTCCTTGCCCTCTAGGGGGTCACACGCAAAACAAGGATTATTCCTCAACAGGCCAAGCTATAATCAAAAGACCCCATGTTTCACTTAAGCATCTTTAGTTCCAACAGAAAGGTGGAATGGAGAATGCAACCCCAGCCAAGTGATTACAGAAGTCATTGTATGTTTTTAACTTTGTAAATTGTTCACTAATGGATCCCAATCCTCCAATTGTAAGGCATTTTGCCAATAACCCTCAGTTAGAAGTTAAACAAAAGGCCCCTGTCCTTATTAAGGACCCAGAAACAGGTAAGATTATGGGACCTTACCCCCTTGTCACATGGGGAACAGGTTACGCTTGTGTGTCTACAGAACACAGTCCAAGGTGGATCCCAGCTAAAAATGTGAGACCTTTTAAAGAATCTTTGAATATCTCTCTCAAGATGCCTCTTTGAAGATTCTGACCACCCTGGCACTTCACACCCAGCTTGGTCTTCTCAGATGGCTGAGCCTGCCTCCACCAAGATCCCACAGCCACCCAAACAGCTCCTACCTGACCAGAAGGGGCTCATCAACCTCTCACCACTTTGTGAACTGTATGGTCAGCTTATTCCAGAGACAGAGGAATCTCTAATTGCAGAAAAAGACTCCATTCATGAAGGAGGGTGGGAAGGTGTGAAAGGAGACGTGGGCCCTATCCCTTGTTTTAGTTGCAGAGATTATTCCCACCAGGAGTAGACTCTATTTGTGCTACAGGTGTCAGAGAAAGTGGTATTGCGCATGGGAGCGCCGAGGCCAGGATTACCCACAGTGTGATCCTTTGCACTATTCTTTTGGTGACTGGGTTATTTTAAAGTTTGTGTGTGCACAGGATTATGGCTTGCCTTCACATAGGTATTTTTGGAAGCCTGAATGGCTCCCTCATACTAATCCTCCTTGTAGGATTCAGCTTTTACAAAAGGGAAGTGGTGGTATTGCCACCCTATCCAGCAGGTAGTGTTTGGCTTACACCAGCTCAACTTCAAATGGATCTGCTTTATGTGTATCTATGAATTTTCCCAGCAATCCTTTTCAAACTTGATTAGCAACCATGCCTTTGGAGAAAAATGAATGGGATACTTTATTCAATTTGACAAGCCAAAGAAATTGTACCACCCCAGGTTAAATTGAGCCAAAGTGGTGGTGTGATAGAGAATCATACTGGAAAAAGGAAGGCCAACCACCTGGGTGGTACTTTGTTAATGATAGTTTTTGAGGAATGGATTTAATTTTAGAGCTACCCCCCTTCCCATACAGCCTCAAGAACTGGATATCCTTGGATTCACGCAGGTTTTCAGATGTTTCTTAAGTTACACCCGTAGGATGACGCAATCTGTTGGCATTGATATTACAGGTATAGGCATTTATACCAACCCCTCTGCTTGGTGCAATCACACCCTACCACAAGAAGTCATTCCAGGAACAGCTGCCATTAGACCAACAGATGACATATTTTTAATTTGTGGAAATAGAGCGATGAAGGGAATACCTGGAAGAGCAGTAGGAAGTCTTTGCACCTTTGGGGGACTTTTTCACCCCTTATAGGCAAACTTAACATCTTTGCATAAAACTGGGACAGGTGAAATGCAACACACATCTGTACAGCCCAGGCTGTGATGATAATGTACAGTCAGAGCACCGCAGCACCAGTATTTGCCTCAATTACTCAGTCTATTGGCACAGCACATTCATTAAAAACTTTAAACGAGCTTGGCTGCTGGCTTGCAAAACAAACTAATGCTACAGGCTCTGCTTTATCAGGCCTACTAATGGATGCTGATAGCATAAGACATGAAACATTAAAAAATAAAGGCGCAATCGGTATTTTGCTTTGAGTGTATGGGCACAGCTGTGAAGACTTTGAGGGCTTATGCTGCATGAATCTGTCTGACCATTCTCAATCTACACATTCAGACCTTCAATACAGTGTAACTAAATTACAAGTTGTTAGTGATGGGGATTGGCTTTTGACAAGTACTTGGGGGATGGGGGCTCACTGTCTGGCTTAAGAATTTCGTAAAGACAGGAATTTGTATTTTAACTATAGTACTGCTTGTTATGATCCAC